AAGTGGACTGTGTATGCTGTTATGCTAATGAATTTGCTAATTAATTCTAGGTGTCTCATGGTGCAGTTCTTTTGGTTTTCCATGTAGAGTATCATGTCACATGTGAATAATGATAATTTAACTTCTTCCTAATTCATTTATTTATTTATTTATTTATTTATTTATTTATTTGGTAGGAGTCTTGCTACACAGCTTGCACTCATAGTGATCCTCCTGTCTCAGTCTCTCCAGTGCTGACATTACAGGCAAGTATGACCACACCCAGAGTCCATGGCTGGTGCGCTGCATCTGGTGTTTTGGGGATGGCATGTGGTACCGAGGCTCAAACCCGAGTCCTTGTGTTTGCCAAGCAGGTGCTTAGATGAACAAGCTAGCTCTCTAGCCTCTTCCTTTCCAATTATTTTCCTTTTATTTTGCAATCTTGTCTAATTTCTCTGGCTAATGTTTCCAGAGATATATTGAATAGGCATGATTACAGTGGCCATCCTTCTCTTATACCTAATTTTAGAGTGAAAACTTTCAGTTTTTGCCTATTGAATGATGTTGCCTCTTGGTTAGACATAGATGGCTCTTATCAAGTTGAGGTAAAAACCATCTATTCTAATTTTATCTCAGGTTTTTTTCATGAATGAGTGTTGGATTTTGTCAAAAGCTTTTTTTTTTTTTTTTTTTTTTTTTTGCATCTATTGAGATGACCATGTTGTTTTTGCTTTTGTCTCTATTGATACGGTGTTTTACATCTCTACATGTATATATTTTGATCCAACTCTGACTCCCTGGGATGAATCCCACCTGGTGATGGTTTATAATCTTTCTTATGATTTTTTTCATTGCTTGGTGGCATTCTATTAAATATTTTTGCATCTATGTTCATGAGGAAGATTGGCCTATACTTCTCTTTTTTAGTTGGGGCTTTCTCTGGTTTTGGTGACAGTGTAATACTTGTCTCCTGAAAATTACACAAGAGCTATGGAGAACTGCTCCCTTTTCTCTTTCATTAAACAGTTTGAGGAGTAATGGGATTAAATCTTTTCTAAATTTCTTGTAGAATTTAGCCATAAGTCCATCAGGACCTGGGCTGTTTATTGTTAGTAATTTTATTACATTCGCAATTTAATTAACTGACACTGAGTTATTCAGAATTTTTATATTTTCTGATTCAGTTTTGGTAATTCATACGCATCTAGAAATCTTTCTATTTCTTCTGGTTTCCAACCTGTGAGTAAAAATTTTCAAAGTACATACTGATGAGGTGAGTTTCCAGTGAATCTGTAGTAATTTTACCCTTTTCATTCATTATTTTTTTGAATTTGAGTGTTTCCTTTCCTTTTTTCATGATGCTGACTAGAGGTTTACTAGTTTAATCTTTCAAAGAATTAATGCTTTGATTCATTAGCTTTTTGTATTGTTTTGTCTCAATTAAATTAATTTTTGCTTTGATCAATATAATTTCATTGCTTTGGGCTTTGGGCTTTTTTATCTAGAAGCAT